TTATTAGTCTTGTTAAAAGTTAAAGATTGTGTATGATTTAAAGTAATACGCCATAGAATTTTAACTAAACCTGTTTAATTGTGACGTTAGTTTAGGCTGATGATATTTAAAATGACCGAGTCATTGTCCGATAATATTGCCCTCCGCTACTTTCCAGGATATATCATCGTACATATATTCACATGTATCCATTTGTCGACCACTTTATATTAGGTAATGTCAAATTTAATCATTTACGATGAGTACCTTCAACATCACACTCATAGTCGAAGTGCTTTTTTGTAAAATAACTTGACACCAATAATTCAGTATTTTTATTGAATAAGCACTTACGGCCTCCATAGTTTCATGCCAAAAATACGATTTCCCCATACTCGTCATCCGGGAATTCTATATCAAAGTTAAAATCAATGTATTCAATCATTATCAAATGTGTGATGAGTATTCGTTAGAAACACCATGAGAAATATATTTTCATTTTCTTGTGTGTACATGCTTTCATTTTTGGCTATATTGAACCCAAACATGCTTTGAACATTTGGAGGTCCATACAATGTATTGGATAGATCAACTTCACAAAAAACCTGTCAAATATCCTTTCGGCTACTTTAAGAAAAATCATATGAATTAAACAAGAATACTCTGGAAAAAACTACTCACGCGTTCACTCGCTTCTTACACACTGCAATCTTTCCAGTAGTTTACATAGATACAAAGATTTGGTTTGCAAGTTTGGCTGTACCTGTTAAAAACTTATTTCAGACGGAATAGCACATCCTAAATTTTACGATATATTGTTTACCGAGCCCGGACATTTATATACGACCCGGGTAAACTTATCAATCCTTTAAATAAACCTCTAAAAGGTTACCAATTCAACACTGTATTTGAATATTGTTTTGATTGGTATAAATATTGATTTTGTTGATTTTGTTATCAGTAAATTAAAATCATACTAACTAGTTTTGTTATACACATGCACTTTAACGGTACTGCAATCTGTCGATACCTTTCATTTGGCATTGCACAAGGCCATGTTTTTCTCTGACTGTTAATGACGTCTTTACACTAAATCCATTGGATGTTGGATGTGTACTGATTGATATTTTAGTCATAAAAAAATCATGATTTTTTTTATAAGTTGTAATTAGCTTTGAACTAGCTGTCAGTAGCTACGAGTACTCTCAAATCTGTACTTAGTGTCTTTTTTGTTGTTAGGGATGAGGGATGGATAATACCCTGCCACGTCCAGTCTGTGTTTTTGTTTGGTGTTTTTCTGCTTTGTATCGACCTGATGAGTTAAGCCTTTTTCAAACGATTTTTATAGTTTGTTCTTATGTTGTGCTGTTACACCACTGTTCCAGGTTAGGGAGAGGGTTGAGCGCTCATAAACATGTTTAACCCCGCCACATTCTTTATGTGCCTGTCCCAAGTCAGGAGCCTGTAGTTCAGTGGTTGTTGTTGGTTCATGTTTGTCATATTTGTTTTTCGTAAATTTTGTTGTTATAAATCAGGCCGTTATAGTTTTCTCAATTGAATTGTTTCTTATTTTTAATTACGGGGCCATTTATAGCCGACAATACGGTATGGAGTTTTCTTATTGTTGAAGGCCGTACGGTTGCCTATAATTGCTTACATCCACTTCATTTGAACTTTGGTGGATAGTTGTCTCATTGGCAATCATACCACATTCCTTATTTTTATATTGACAATATCATGGCAAAAAAACGAGAAACGATTGAAAGACAAACAATAGTCTACAAAACTCAACATACAAAAAAAAAAAAACTGAACAACACGAATCCCACCAAAAACCGGTGGTGGTCTTAGGTGCTACTGAAGGGTAATCAGATCCTGCACCACATGTGATCCTGTCGTGTTGCTAATGTAAGTACAAACACTGTGAAAAGTCCAATTAATACCTTACGCTCGTGCATGTTCACGCTATACGGGTTTCATCAGCAATTTGTAGGCTCCTTACACAAAAACTGCTCAAACAAAGTGATGATTAAGAACTACTGAAATCGACATTTACATAAGTTTAACGGTCACAATCAGGAATTGGTTGATCTATATGACCTGTCTGTGTCTCAACTCACTAGCGACATCGTTTCACAGTCTTAACTCTTTGAGATACCAGAACAGTTGTTTTATCTGTAGTTTTACCGATTGTGTCCTATTGCTGATTGTGACTTTTGGCTGAGAGTGGATTTGCATGGAGTGTGATGCATGTATAGCATGCGACGCTTACCCTAGGCCTGTTGACCCGATCTCGCTCCTTTAGGAATTCATGCGATTCCCTTGTTTTTTGGCTTGTTTCCTTGATTTATCTTCTAAATCGATTGGAATATCGGTAAACTACTGTGGCCTAATTTTAATTTTTTTCCATTTTCATATTTACAATAATAATTTTCACATCTTAGTAAATCAATTTTTGTTTCTGTCATTTATTGACGAAATCTTAACGAAACAGTTGAACAAATGAATATATTTTCACTTAGGTTCAAGGACAACATGTGTTCGTCTCCAACGGATTCTAACTGGATAACTGCCACAGATTGCAAACATTGAACATATTTTTAGATAGGTCAATACAGTTTCTCATTTGAGTCAGTCTGAAATCAATATCTCCGAGAGATTATCATGTAAGTTTTAATGCTTCAGTCGTTCCAGAAATATGAAAAATAAAGGTGGCAATTCCAGAATTCTGTTTTGTGAAAAATTGTTGGTTTTTTTTTACCTTGATTTGTATCTTCTTAATGGGTTTTTGAGATTTGAACATCGGAAAAAAGAAACTTTTTGGTGTGATTGTATAAATCATATTCAAAACAAATTCCAGTAAGCTTTTATACAAAACTTTTTATTTTATGAATGGAAATGTGTAAAGATAGTTATTATGTACATGTTCGTTGAGAGGCTCCTGTAATACTGTAATTGCGAGAAATCTTTGTTGTCGACCGCCAGTGACATACACGAAAAGGTTTAAATACCAGGTGTCTTTAATCTACGCTGTTATGAAAAAGTGTTAAATTTTGAAAAAAATAATTTGATTGATAGCTTTGCGCGAAAAAAAAAAAATTCTGACTCAGACAAAAAACCATAACCCCCCTTGAAGTTAAATGGTTTCTCCCCTAGAACTGAAATGATCAGTTTCATTTTAGATTTATCTTCTAAATTTACTAATTTTAAATTTTTGAATTAACTATCAAATTTTATATGGTTGAAGTCAAATAAAGATCCAATAGTTAATAATATAATGATAAAATTGATAGATAGTTTGATGAAGACTAGAAGAGCTAGCAAAATTAAGTAATAAGACATAAGTGGCCCACCAGCTCTTCCTTCCTGAGCGACGTACAATGGCTCTGTTTCGCTCCGGTTCACTTCCACTTGCGTGTGAGACAGGAAGATACTCCCGGCCGCCTATACCCATTGAACACGGAATATGTGTGTTGTGCGAATCCAACAGCGTTGAAACAGAAAAACACTTTCTAATGGAATGCTCATTATATGACGATCTTCGAAACAATGATCTCTTTAATGAATGCTCAAAACTAATTTAAGACTTCAAGATCTTGATATAAAAAGAAAATTTATTGAAATTATGAATTGTACCAATATCCAGTATTATTTTTGCAAATGGTTACATAAATTTTATTTGCGTAGAAAATTATTTTTACATTAATATTTTCCTATAATCAATTTTTAATGCTTTTATTTATCAGATGTTTACCCAATTGTGATCATTTTATAATATTTCATAGTTGATATATATCTTTTTTAATCTAAGATTTATTTATATTTTATGTGACTTGTCCAATTTTGAGTAAAAATATTACGAGATTATTAACAAGTTTAAATAGTATATTTTTGTATATATTTTGGTTTTAAGGATCAGTGTCTATAAGTCATTTTTTGGCTGGATATTGATTGTTATTTGTGTGTATATGAATATTATGTGAATGTCTTGTTTCAATCAATATGTGACACTATAATAAACATTTTTTATTCTTTATTCTATTCTTTTATAATTCGGCGGTACTGATTGTGCTCACTCACTCATTATCTTTGGGAATACAGTGTGTTTGTTGTCTCCCTTTTCATATATAGTTTTAGTTTTATAGTAATTTTTCAATCAAAAAAATTATCACAATTATTTCTACACTTTAATTAAACTGTAATTGTTCTGCTCCTCGGGGCGTCTTGATTGGTAAATAAAAATTGGTGGTGCTGTTGTTGTTGCAGGGGACTATATTCAAAGTATGTTTTATCAGAATTTCTATCAATTAAAGGAAAAGGTCCGGTAAGGGCCAATTTTGGCCTACAATTTGAAGTACATCTGATGAAAGATTTTTGACATTTTTTAAACAATTAAGTATCTACTTCAGTTGATTCAATTATGGTATGGGAAAGATTTTAACTGATTTGGTAATTGAAGACGCTCAAATTCAAGCTTTCATATGAAAAATCTATCAAAATATGCCATAAAACGTCACTTTTCAGATGGTTTTTGTCCAAAACAATAGTGGCCACATTCGTGTTCAGTCTTAACCTTTATATATGTTATGTAGTATTACCAAATACATGTAGTACTAGAATATTAAGACTGATCACAAGAGCGGCCACTTCCATTTTAGACAAAAACCATCTAAAAACTTATAGCACAAATGCTAAAATTGTGAAGATTTCAGTAATTTTGCATGAAGTAATGATGATAGTTCACGATGCATGTGTATTGTATTGTCAAAAACAGCATATATCTGTTTAACAAAAGTATTCTACTTTCTAATAAATATCTAAAAGTTTACATTTTTAACAAATTTATAAAATGCTATATTTTGAGGTCAAAAGAGGGTCTAATCGGGCCTACTCCTTTGTGAAGATCATCATCCAAATATCAACTGTGGTGCAACTATATGGCGTTAACTTACCTCATGTCTCCTTTCATTCATATAACACGATTTGTTTATTGCGAGGAAAAATAAACAAGAGATACAAAATGTAGTCAAATATTTTAATACTTGCATAGGTCATATAATAAAAAAAATGTGTCGTAACTATACAAGTTAAAAAACAAATAGTATTTATTTCAACAAATTACAATCAAATTGTATGATCAAATGCATTTCTTCTACAGTTATCAGCATAAACACATTTACAGAGACTATGATTAAAGTAATAGACCTGCTGTTGGAATTAAACAGCTGAAGTTCCAAAATAAGCCTCGAAATTTGAACTATGCTATATTCCCTCCAATTACCAATATATAACATCTAGTTATGCGAGTCAAAATTAACCAATCGTTTGTCTGTCTATGTTTTGCTATAGATGGTATTGACAACTTCAAATGGCAATGAAACAACTAAACCATTGTGATTTGAATCGTTAACAGAATTCATTATTAATCCACTTACAGTCATAATGCATGTATGGGTAATAAAGCAATAATATATCAATTCATCTATAAGTTATGAAGCTACTATTGCTCATACGATTGAAAACTGAACTCAACATTTGTATCGGCACATGTCTCTGTTTGAATACTGTATCTTGCCTTCTAGACGTATTTGGTTATTTCTGTCGTTAGGTGTTTGTCTCATTGACACTTTCTTATTATTCATATCAAGTTGCTGTCTCGTTGACATATCCCTATATCTCTTATTATTCATATCAAGTTGTTGTCTCGTTGACATATCCCTATATCTCTTATTATTCATATCAAGTTGCTGTCTCGTTGACATATCTCTATATCTCTTATTATTCATATCAAGTTGCTGTCTCGTTGACATATCCCTATATCTCTTATTATTCATATCAAGTTGCTGTCTCGTTGACATATCCCTATATCTCTTATTATTCATATCAAGTTGCTGTCTCGTTGACATATCCCTATATCTCTTATTATTCATACCAAGTTGCTGTCTCGTTGACATATCCCTATATCTCTTATTATTCATATCAAGTTGCTGTCTCGTTGACATATCCCTATATCTCTTATTATTCATATCAAGTTGCTGTCTCGTTGACATATCCCTATATCTCTTATTATTCATATCAAGTTGCTGTCTCGTTGACATATCCCTATATCTCTTATTATTCATATCAAGTTGCTGTCTCGTTGACATATCCCTATATCTCTTATTATTCATATCAAGTTGCTGTCTCGTTGACATATCCCTATATCTCTTATTATTCATATCAAGTTGCTGTCTCGTTGACATATCCCTATATCTCTTATTATTCATACCAACAACAGTTACATGTTATTAATTAAGAGACTGTGTGGGGTAAGTATTAATGAAACAGCAACAAAAAATCCAAAAGTCAAAAGAGATTAACATGCAGTATTCAACTATCAGTGTGTCAAGGTCTAAAAAACCCAAAAAAGTTGCGGATAAATTTGATAGAGACGACCAATATCTGAAAAGAGCATTACATTCACAAAATTGACAAAACCTTGGTTTATAACTTTAGACATTGACGAAGTTCCTGACTTAGGACGGGCCCATGATCATATGGCTGGGATAAACTAGTTTTCTTAGCAATAAACCTTCCAATCCCTTTTTTTTATCTCGGATTTCGTTTTTTTTTTGTGAATTTACATGTATTCAAAAAATAAATAGTTTTCCTAACTTTTCTTCACTTGATATTTAGGTATAAATTCACTCACCATAGTTGGCCTCTTATCATCTAATTGTACGTCTATTATTGTTTTGCATTGCTCAGTTTCTCTTTGAATAAAATGTTACATTTAATATTAATCTTTCTTATTTTGTAGCGAAGACGTCAAAGTCTTCTTGAAAAGATTATTTTGCAAGTGAACATCTTGTATAGATATATATTTTATATAAATGTGAAAAGAGTATTGTTGTTATTCAATGGACAATAATCCATCAAAAACTGACCATTCAATATCAGTGTCACATGAATTGAGTGGATCACGTTTTGGATCTAATCAAAGGGAAAACGTAATCAATGGGAAACATTTTCCCACAGATTGGTTTCAGGATGAAATAAGTGAAGAACTGACAAAACACTGTCACATATTTAATCAAATAAGACCGAAATCTGATTTCTCAAGTTAATTGACAGTGAAACGCTTAAATTTTTCTATATTACGGTGGGTCTGAACAAGTAATATTTATTTAATTATACTTTAGTTATAAACTGTGGTATTTTTTTGTTTGTCTGTTGGTGTTGTTAAAGAAACTTTCAGCTACCTTGACAATATCATGGCGACCAGATTGTATTGGTGGAGGAAGTTGAAGTACCCGAGGAGAACCACCGAGCTTTGGCAGGAATATTGGTAATGCTTGTCAATTAAGATTTGAGTCGAACATACCTCGCCACAAGCGAAGTTGGAAATCTGCGGTATTTGATAAATTTCATTAACAAAACTAGAGTAACTGAATATTCACATCCATAAAATACTATACAGTAAAACAAAATGATACAAGAAAAAATACTAATACCTCAAAAACAACACTTTTTACTGACATTTTGAAGTCTTAGTTGTAAGTCTTTTTATGTTCTTTGGTATTGTTGAGTTATTGAAGAAATATTCGGCTCTGTTACCAATGTCATTTCATCTCTATCAGCTGGTTTTCTGATGCCTTCTAGAACTTTCATTTAACTGTGAGTTTACGACCATCGTTTAATAAAATGCGCTGAGGTTGGCTGACAGTTTTTTTTATCTGACTTGGACCATGTTTAATCTTCCAAATATATATATTTTTTTTATTTATGATTGCAAATGCATACTTAATTGAATGGCTGAATGTGCCAAAACAGTGTGTTTAACTTATTGACTTTTTTATATTGATTTTGACCCATTTCCCTTTTGTATCACTCATGTTGTAAAACAACTGTTTCCGTTTTTGAAATATAAGACACCTAAACGGGATCAATACAAAAAAAAATGGAAGTTTTATCTTACTAGATAAAATTTTGGCAGATTTTCATGAGAATATTTTTGTACTTAAGTCAATTGATCGTATTCTCACAGTTCCCAATTAAAAATGGATAGAAACAGAGTAAAATTGAAAAGTTTGAAAACTTTATGTCGCATAATTTACCTCCAAATGCTATTAAAACTTTTACTTGTCCCTTTACCAACATGAGAGTTCGTGTCATGTTAAACAATGCACATGTATTATAATCTAAGCAGGAGGAAAGTCCTGCCACTTAGTCAAAATCAAATGCATGTATTTTTAGACTTTGTATAACCACCAGTCTAAAACTACAAGAAACGCTGCAATATATAAAACTTTACACACATATATAAACAGATAATTAAGTTTTAGGAATGTCGTTGTTTAAAGGTGAAGGTTCGAAAAATTTCATGACTTCTTCGTTGACGGTCAACGAATTTAATGAAGAATTATCACCATCATCTCGATCATGTTTGTTAACAATATTTCTTATTCTGTGTAAGCAAGATTCACTTCTGAATACCCCAATGCAGGTCTTATAAGGACCTCTTTTACCAATGACATCAAGTCGATCCTGGCTCTTATGTAAACTCTTTCTCTTTTTGTTAGCTTTTGAGATTGCACCCGTACCTCTTTCTGTATGAATTTCTGATACTACTGAACAACCATCATTGATGCCTGGAATGGCTCTTTCTTGAATCTTCTTCGAACTTGTAACATTGCTAGAACAACTATGCCTCCTCTCTGTAAATTCCCGACCATCAAACACTGTTTCGTGCGCATCAATGTGAATAACGACTTCTGACTGACGTGATTTTTCTGATATATTCGATTTGTCTAGAAGAAAATCGGTAGAAATATCGTCCAGTTCTATTGTTTCCGTTGGGGATCCGCGGAACGCTGGATTAGAAAAACAAGTTTCAGAGTTTTTCTCGGTTGTTTCAGTGTCGTGTGCGGACTTATCATCGGTGTTACAATGATAATATTTTGGAATATTATTCTTATCACCACAGTATTTAGAATATTTTGAAAACCTTCGCTGTATTCGCTTGAAAGACTTTGGACGGATATTTGGCATAGATGACGTTTTTAACCATGTTTCGTGATCACTTAAACACCTTTTTCGTTTGTGTTTTGGAGTCACTTTTTTGTCATTTAGCCATTTTCTTTGAACTTCCGGTGTTATCAGTAAGGCGGGTGTACTGATACTCAATGCTTTATATAATGTTGGCATTTTGGAAGCCACTTTATTAGAACGTTTACTTGGTTTTCTAATCGGCACTTCGATGCCTCGAAAGTAGTTCTTTCTAAATTCGTCTATTACCATATCATACAATACACCTTTCTTTGTATTTGAAATGTTTCTACTAGGTAGGATACTTTGAACGAATTTATCTCTTATTTCACAATATAACACAACCGCTACCATTAGCACAAAAAATCCTATTCCCATTAGAACTGGACCAACATAAGCTAATGATTTCAACTGCGTATATTTTGTTTCAACTGGTATTTTCGTTGTAACATTCGATGTTTTTGTACTGTTGTTAATGGACGAGTTTGCAGAAATGTCGAAGAATTTCTGTGGATTATATCCAATGTAACACAAAAGAGCACCACTACACAATACAGTGAATCCAATAATAGATCCTACTACATTCGGAACTAAATATGGCATTCTGATAAACTCGAACCATTTCAATTCTCGCTTCGGTAAGTTTCGTTTTCTTGAAGGTCCACCAAACCAACTTGGTCTTGTGTTTCCAAGCTTTATCCGTGCTTGAGGCACAAACATGGTCACTTACATTCATGTTTTACGTTATCATGTTCCTTTTTTCATAAAAAATTGTCATTTACATGCAGTAATTAAAATTATTTCACAAACTTCACGATATCTTCTCTAAAGTGCCGTACACCTAAAAAAGGAAAAGAAAAGAGAAATAGAAGAAATATAGAAAGACAATATAGTTGTCATAAAATCAGTTTTCCTCTATATTTTCGTTAAGTTATTTATCGTAAGTCACTTTTGTTTCTCAATGTATGAGAATATATATTTATATATAGATTTTTTTATATATTGACGTAAGTGTTTGGATGTGACGTAAGATTTATATAAATCATGACAAAATTCCATCAAGGTATATAGCACTCTCGAAGATAGCACTTGGGATCTTGATTAAATATACATAATTGGTGTTAGAATAGATTGTACCTATATATATATCTAGCAAATCTGAAAATAGTTCCAAATGTAACATTTCATTTAAACGATCCATTAAAACCGTATTTCTATGAATAACAAAGTATTCCCATAACATTAATGCAAAAAACTTTCACATTCAATAGACGGAAAATTGGAAAAAGGAATAACGACGCGACATTTTTTGTGTCAATGTAAAGGATGAATTTGCATTTGTGATATTAAAAGGTACGTTCGATTGTATAGGCTTTGATTAAAAGATATTTTCGTTGAATTGGGTATATTTATATATTGCCTACTTTTAGGCGTATATAGTTTATTTATTGTGTACAGTATTGTTTTTCACAACGACCAAAGTCCTCGTGAGAAAAATCGTTAAATACTATCTAGACGTCTAAAAACGGTACAAAAACACCAGAATTGAAAAAAAAGGAAAAAATTCATATATATTTGCTGCGACCGACAGGCGTTAATTGTTGAATTTCCTAAAAACGAAAATGAAACTGTAAGTAAAAGTTGGGTACAGTTAACTAAAACTTGATCTTTTGAATCTCGAAATGTCCATCTTGTAACAATGGAAAGACACTCTACACAGCAAAAAAAAAATGTGTAGGAATTTGTGCTTGATACGTAACTATTGATATAGGAAGGGGACAATAGAAAAGCGGATAAGATTGCGTTTGGTATACATAGTTAGATCCTACATATCATTCATCAACATCAATTGATAGAACAATATCTAGATAAAAAGCAGACATTTTGCATCTGTAGTTTTCTTAATTCTAATTTCACTTGACTGTTTGTCTGGTGCAAGTTTTCATTGAAATCGGGATAATTTTTTTTTTACTAATTCTATGTTTTATTAGTACAAGAACAACTCAGCAGGTAGGGGTGCACAATAAGTACCAACTTGTATACAGACTGTTGAAATATTTATCCGCCATACTCAAAACAAATATATTATCTATCATTTGTAAAGCTTTGGTTCATACAATGTATACTTCGATGTATTTATTGCTCGCGTCAGTATGGTACAATGTTCTAAACCTGGACAAGACATTGATATCTGCATTACCATTCTTATAAAAGATACATTGTTTTAAGAGTAGACAATCTTGCACTAAGGAATAAGGAATATAATCGCAGATTATAAAGTAAATTTTTAGTAAAACTGAGGAAATCCTTGGTGTCTTTCTGATTACTGTTCGAAAAGTGCACTTTTATTTAAGCGCAAATTATTTATTCATCATTTCTGAAGTTTTAATTGCTCGAAATGTTCAATCATGCGTAACATAAAAGGTTCTTTGCTCTGAACTGACATGCCATACGATGCGTAATTCATTGCACGTTCAAAGGACAATGAAACAATAGCAAACACATGTACGTATATATGTTTAAATACAATGATGATGTAAGAGTTCGTAATTATATTAATAATAGGAAAAACTCACCAGGAAACATAACTTGTAGGAAAAGATACTCAGGAGTTTAGTATGGCGTTCATTATCGCTGAACTAGTATATATATTTGTTTAGGGGCCAGCTGAAGGACGCCTCCGGGTGCGGGAATTTCTCGCTGCATTGAAGACCTGTTTGTGACCTTCTGCTGTTGTCTGTTCTATGGTCGGGTTGTTGTCTCTTTGACACATTCCCCATTTCCATTCTCAATTTTATTATCGTTATCTTTTTTTTTTTTAAATTTATTTATTTATGATTGATTGTTGGTCGCTTAACGTCCAGTGGTAAATATTTCATGCATGTTAAGGGCGAGAACAAATTAACAATAAATACAATAGGTAGGTCCTGTAAGGTCGTCCGGGATGAAGGTCTGGGAAATTTGGACTGCCACGGGAAAATGAGGATATATTGGATAGGGACAGAAATTTAGCCTTGCAACAGGCCACCTACGGACCCCTCAAAGAGTTGTTACAAGGGTTCTTAACGTACAAAGAGCGTGGCACTCTCTCTACACGAGGCATCGGATTTAACGTCCCCATTCTGACAGGACGTGGCTGCCAACTTGTACATCCCGCACAGCCAAACGGACGCCCCACTTTTGCGAGGGTTTTATTGCCAATCGGAGGAAGACCAATGGTGACCATATTTCTATTCCCCAGTCACCTTTGGTGGGGGGGGGGGGGGGTTAAAACATAAACAAAAACTAGTATTTTGTCGGTTTCTGTTTTTATTTATGGGTTGTGTTTTCTGTCCTTTTTATGCTTATTTACGATATTTATAGTTAAGTTAATCTTCGTTTTATGCCAAATATCAAATATTACGTAGAATTATTTGAATAGTTTGAAAAAACCCATGCCATGAGCATTATTTATTTCAAATATTTGAATTAGATACATAAGAGTGAAATTCTTGCTATCGAAGTAAGAGTTGATATTGTTAAGAGCCAGGTGATAGCGTCTGTAACAATTAGACCATCATTATTCTCTTTAATGATTAGTAAAACCAATTAACAGGTACAATTTTACTTTCATCACCTCCTTATTATAAAGATAAATTAAACAAAAGATCGGAATTGTACACAATGATTTGGCAGTTGCTAGTAAGAAAAATGTGATAGACACTTGTGAGATATACCATAAATTTCAACACTGCTACAAATTGTTCCATCGATCTTTTGATTTTAATCCAGCATGAATTAAAGAAAATAAGATTGTAATTAGTTACATCACGATCCAAGAGAATACAATAAGTGAAGCCTTTCTAGGCTTATTACGTCATTTCGCTTACTTCTCTTAAGACACAAAGAACCAAAATTAAAATTCTACTTTAGGTATCTGAAGATAAATAATTTATAGGATGTTATACTTGATTATCGAAAATTAGCAATCATAAATATCCAAATGAGCCAACTAGTTAAAGGCTTTTAATTGTGAAACTATTACGACTATTACACTTTTTGGTAAATTGGGCCTTTAAATGATTTATAATATAGGTATGCTTTCAACCTTGAGCTAAATGCCCATATTGTATGGTAAGCCGGAACCTCATCCATTCAGAAATGCATTTAAGTCAACGGTCATCCGCCTTTGCATGGCTTCAATCAAATGACTTGAAAAACAAAGAACCAATAGCAACGTTAATATAGATTTTAAATGCCAATATATACATGAAAGGACAACGCAGATTAACGTGTACACGACCTTGGATGACCTTCATAAAGTAACCTCGAAACCAAAATAAAATTGAGAATGGAAATGGGGAATGTGTCAAAGAGACAACAACCTGACCATAGAGCAGACAACAGCCGAAGGCCACCAATGGGTCCCGCACCCGGAGGCGTCCTTCAGCTGGCCCCTAAACAAATATGTATACTAGTTCAGTGATAATGGACTTCATACTAAACTCCAAATTATACACAAGAAACTAAAATTAAAAATGATACAAGACTAACAAAGGCCAGAGGCTCCTGACTTGGGACAGGCGCAAACATGCGGCGGGGTTAAACATGTTTTTTGAGATCTCAACCTTCCCCCTATACCTCTAGCCAATGTAGAAAAAACAAACGTACAACAGTACGCACAGTAAAACTCAGTTTAAGAGAAGCCCGAGTCCGATGTCAGAATAGGAAACAAAAGAAAATATTAAACAAAATGACAATAATACATAAATAACAACAGACTACTAGCAGCTACTGACATGCCAGCTCCAGACCTCAATTAAACTGATTGAAAGATTATGTCTTCATCATATGAATATCAGGCACAATCCCTCCTGTTAGGGGTTAAGTATTATACCATCATAAAATATATGAGAAGAACATAACCCGTGTCATGCCAGCAACTGGTTTTAGAATAAATATATTTAATTCCGATGCAAAGACCCTATGAGTGAATCAATATTAAAGCCAAAATATGCAATCTTTAATGACATGACAGTATCGTAACTATATCCCTTCTTAATAAGTCTGTTTTAAGGTTTTGTTAGCTTTTGAGGTGAATACTGACATTTTTGTGTTTTGTAAAGAATATTTCCATAAAAGATTGGATGTGAAATACCCGAACGTATAAGATGTCTGCATGTTGAGTTATATTTACGAATGATGTCCTTATACCGATGATAAAATTTAGTAAATGTTTTGACTAGTTTATGATATCGAAAACCCTGGTGTAATAATTTTTCAGTAATACATGAATTTCTCTCGCTAAAAGTCCTTTTGTATAATCAGTTAGTTTATATTTGCTCGACTACTATAGTGTTATTACTCTGACTGTCTTTTTTAAATATTTTATTTCAAATATCAAAGCTATCAGAGCATTATAAAGTAGGCCAAATGAAATGCTTAGGCCATCTGCGATATACCATTGACTGTACTAATTGCCGTTTCAAAGACCAAAAGAATTGGTGAAAAGACAAAAAGACAAAACTGGATTGTCATGCACAAGGTTAAAAGACAAAGTATTTAATAAAATGTAGAAAGGTTGAGGTCAAATCTTGTGAATAAAAAGATTCTACATAATTAAATTCTTTAAGATAATTCCTTTGTAAAGTATGAATATAATTTTTTGTGATTTTAAAATGAAACTGGCAAGGATATTTGAAAGTCTCAGAGTGACATGTATTCAGCCTACTGCATTAAGTATTTCATACCTAAAGTGAAGCAACGAGTATCAAATATCCTTTAGGATTATATTGACAACTCGTGTCATCGTTCAGTGCAGGATTTGCTGGACCTATCGTTATTCGCTTGTGGT